TAGCCAAAGTATATATAATAAATAAGTAGGCATATAGAGCGTAAGAATCTTTTGTACAAGGCATTAATCCTTAAATTCTAAGTTAAGGTAGCTCTTATAGCTGTTAAGGATAAGTAGCCTATATAACCTTACCTAACGCGTCTTTATATACTTATTAAAGTGCTTTAACTACGCGAGACTAAGCTTATTGTTTGTCTAGCTGTTCTCTAATACTAAAAGCTTCTAGTTGTATAGTATATCTGCTTTTTCGTACTATGCAGAGATGTAGACGCGTCCCTTATAGATAATAAATAGCATGGTAGCGTATCCCACAGCGCAGATGCTCTAGATAACTATAACCCACTCACAATTGCCTGGCTGCGTGAGAGTAGGCCTCGTACAACGCTCTGCGCCTGTGACTACCTTTATTAAGCCAATTACGCCTATCTAAAAGCTACTTTTATTAAAGTTATAGATGTTGTCTAAAAAAAACTCTATACTTCTTAACTATCTCTTATATAAGCTTAAACCACGCGTTAATAATCTCTAGATCCTCTTATTAAGTTCTCTAACAATTCTTTGCTTAACTAAAGGCTATTCTAAGCTTATCTATATAAGTAATAAACTACTCTACCTAGCATTTGCCTAAAGGCTCGCTATCTTGTTCGCGTAGTAGTTTCTCCGCCATATCTGCTACTTTATATAGACAGGGGCAAATCCTTATAAGTCTAGGTTAAGAATATATTGTACAATAGTTTACTCTTTAGACTTAGTTAGCTTCTAGCAATTTAGCTATATTATAGGTTAAAAAGTAATTCCTTAAAGCCGCTAAGGGATCTACTAATAATAGACGTTGTAGGCTGCTATAGCGCGTTAAATGCTCTTAAACTAGCCTATACGATAGGCTAAAATAGCTAGAGTAAGCCTACCTTCTTGCTAAGTTAATATTGCGTTCTATTATTAGGGCATTATCTTTTATACGTGGAGTTCGTGATGCCAAGAAAAAGTAGCACACTCAGTAATGTGGCCCGCTCGGTGATAGAATATGTTATAGTATAAAAGTGCTTTTCTATTGATAGCATAAATTTAAATTAAAAGGCTTAATAGGTATAAAATACAAATGTAGACTAGTATCTTAGCTAAGAATAGCTGAAAGTTAAAGAGGCTATTATTGTATAGAGCAATTACTACTATAAAGTAAGTAAAAGTAAGTTAGTAAAGAAGAATTTATAAATAATAATGGCTAGTTAGTCTTATATACTACTTGTATAGTAAGTTTGAAAGTAAGAGAAATATATAAAATTTATTAATAATAAACAGTAATATGTAGAAAAATATGAAAATAGTAATAGTAAAGTAATAATTGATATTAATTTTAACTAACGTGGTTCATAAGCGAGTCGCTCACCCAAGCGAGTCGGTCACTCCCCACCAGCGCGTTAACGTTGACACGTTATCACAGTCTTTTATTACAGTTAATAAACTATTGCAATATACCAAATTAATTGTTAGAATCGCTACTATTACTTACACTATCTATCTCAACTGCGCAGGTACGAGCGTTGTGTCTAGTCTGCTTGCAACGCCCGCACCGCCGCTCTCCTCGCACCCTCTTCGACGCACTCTCACCATCACCACGACTGCTACCCGCCTGTTCAGCTAATACTTCTTGTACTTCGCCTACAGTAAGAGTCTCTTCTGTCCGTACGTATCGCCGCTTGCGGCTCTTACGCTTATTTGCTGTGTCTAGAGCCTCTCAAAGAGCAGCTACTTCCTCCCTCATAAGCGTCATCTCATGCGCTATTTGCTGAGCCCCTTTACTCAGCTGTACAACCTTCTCGTCAAGAGAATTTGTAGAAGACCTAAGGCGGTTTCTTACTCTCTGTTATATAAGAGTACTTTAAGCCTTAACCTCGCGCGCGTTGCGTGGTGTCTGCGCCTGCCAGGCGGCTGTCCGTCGTGGTGATTGTACTGGCGTCTGCACCACTACATCAAGCTTAGATAGCACAGCCTGTGGGTCATGTGGGACTAGTCCAGCGCCTCTAAAGCTAGCTTGGATATTCTCCTTCGTGATAGACTGCTCAAAAGCAGCCTTAAAGGCTGGTAGGAAGGTCTCCTTGCTAATATAGTAGGTGCGGTTACGTGCCAAGCCTGAAACAGCGTCGCCATACTTACGCTTTAACGGTGAGAAGCAGGCGACGTTAAGGGGCTGCAACAGGTGAGACGAGTGTGGAGGCATGCAGAGAAGAATAATATTCTTCTCCTTGCAAAGATCTTGAAAATCGATGGAGCAGTGGCTCTCATGGCCGTTAATAATAAGTAGTCGATACCCACCCACAGTAGAGCTCTTTGTATAGGTATTAAAGTGCTCTAACTAGGCAAGACTAAGCTAATTATTCGTCTAGCTATTAGGACTAACTTTAAGAACCTAGTTAGCAGGCAAATTCTTAAACTAGACGTTAATAAGCACCTTGCCCGCAAAGACAACGAACGGTGGTATCTAGCGACCTAACGCCCCCACGCCTTGGATTATAGTAACCCACTCACAGTTGCCTAGCTATATCCGCTTTTTTTCCTATATCCTTCTAATACTGTAATTAATAACTATAATAAAATCTTGCCTATTATAAAGCTAGTTTCGTTAAAGTTGTAGATATCGTCGTCTACAATACCCCACTTCTGCCTTGTCGCCTAGACTAAGTCAAACTAGCGCTAGATAGCCACTAGGTCCTCGCAGGCGGCTCGCTAGTAATCATAGGGACAGCTCTAGCGCGTACGGAGCTCAGCAGTCCGCCTAACAAAGTTGTCAACCCAATTCTTGCCAATAGGGTTGCCACCACGCTCCTCTAACAGTTTATTGGCCATTGCTTAAACCTCAGCCTTTGTAGGGGCAAATCCACGCGCAGACTCTTCAAAAATACGTCTAATAATAGCCTCCTCTTCTAACTTATTTAGGCGCTTTAAATTCAGTTCACAGTCGCGTTGGGGGCGCTTTCTAGCCTGTTAATTAAATATTGTACTTTAAGGCACGTTAGAGATAGAGGCAGCGCGTCTTTAGCTTTAAACACGTTGTAATTAGATATTCAAAAGAGCAAGTTAAAGATCTAATTTAGAATAAGTTAATTAATAGTTGCGTTGTTAAGACATAACGCGTTGTAGTATCAACGTCAACGCGCTGGTGGGGAGTGACCAACTCGCTTGGGTGACCGACTCGCTTATGAACCACGTTAGTTATAGAAAGATATAAATAGTAATTACTATATAAGAATACTATAATTTCCTATATCGCGCAACTTAGTTACTAGTTTTATACTTTATTATAAAATACGTTTTTGGTGTTAAGTATTACTATAATTACTAAATAGCTACTAAAGATATAAAGTTATAAAGTTAATAGTTATAGTAGCTAGTAGTAGCTAGTAGGCTAGAGTTAGAGGTAGTAATAAGTAATTAGTGGTTTAAGTTATTAACGTTATATAACCTAAGGTAGTAACACTATAATTATAACTACTATTATTATAATAATAGTAGGTGTTAGTAAAAGGTAATATAACATATAAAAATAGAGCTTTAATACTAAAAATTCTATATATTTAATAATATAGCATATGCTTAAGCTTTATAAGACTTTAAATAACCTAGCAAAAAATAAAAGCAGCTAAAGCTGCACCTCTTTTTAGCTCCGTCACGGGCTGTAGGAATGTTTATACAAGATACCTATCAGACAAGGCGAACCTATAGCCCTAGGCCCCAGAGAGCTGGGGAGTCTTCGGATAGCAAGCTCCAGATGATCCCACAGCATCAGAAGACGTATTCGAGCTATACTGGCTGTTAGCGTTTCTAGCGTTTGTCATGTGATTGGATATGGCGCAGCAGGCAGTACTTAAGTAAGAAGTTCTAGTCGGGCATCGCGCTGCTGCGGGTTGGGTGGGGCAGCGGCACAGCCCCACCCCACCTTGCGTGCACGTGGGATGTGGCTGGGCAAGAGCGGGAAAGGCGCAACCACAACCACAACAGCGGCTTCTCCTATGTACTGCAGCTGTCGTATTTGGATGCATAATGTCACCATACACCTATATACACTCATTGACAGCCAACTTCTGCGCCGTGTCACGGCACCAGCACCAGCACCTTCATTTTGGCCTGACTCCCTGTGCACTGGGCCATCGCCGGCTAAAGGGCATCGAAGCCGTGCATGCCTAGCAGGGTGCCGTGTCAGCCGTCGTCCCCATGTTGATGCCATACTGTATCCACTACGCTTTACCTGACAGACTCCGTACTCTCAGCAGAAGCACAGCCTTCTTGTCCGTGGTGAGTTGCAGCGCCATAGTTTTTCTGTTAGGCCTGCTTGCGCCAAGCATCAATCGGCCCCTAACAACAAAAAAAGAAGGCCTGAAACCCCCACAAACACGAGAAGGATGAGGCTGGTACCTGGGTTCCTCCGGTCTAGGCAGATCCTGGGTTCAAAAACACACTGACAGGCTTGGGATGGATGCCCTAGTTGGAGGCCTTGCTTGGCAGGAATTCAACGCCCTTACCCTTTGCTACCTGATCCTTCGCACATCTTCTAAACTTACATGTACAACCAAGACTATTGTGGGCCTTTCACCTATTTTACACTCGCCAAGAACGACACCTATCATACCCCACCTTCCTAGCCAAGTCTACGATAGCCTTGAAAAAGCTGACATTCCATAAGAACCCGCGCTATAATCAGTGACTGCAGGGTACCTTCACCTTCGCATTACTAGATATGCAACCGGCCTTACAGAACAATGGCCGCCTAAACAAATCCTTGCGTAGAGCACGCGCCCTGCAGTTATCAAAGTGCCTTTTGAAGCAATATTTGACGCTACTCTTAGAATAGATACCTGTGCGAGGTACTTGTTGACTCCAAGTATAAGTGTATATGTCCCTCGACATTAAAAGGTCACATCTGCATCACTCAGCAACTTCTCGACTCACTTGCAAAGCTTTGTACACTTCCTTTGTCTCCAAGACTCCGAACCACATCCACCAAGATGAAGACTCCCTCTGCCGCTGTTATTGCAATTCTTCTCTCGCCCTTCTTGGCTGCTGCTGTAGCAATCCCGGAATCTTCCGACATAGCAGACATTGAAGTTCGCTGTAAGCCTTCCAGGCCGCCCGGCTTCATCATGTTTTTCTTCAACAGTACTAACTAGACCAGCCGCCGATGTCGCCCAAGTCGACAATGTTGAGAAGCGAGCCGACTGTTGGATCAGAGCCAACTGGTACAACAACTGGCCGTCTGGTGGCTTCCGCCGCTATGGTGTGCGCCTTGATGCTGGCCCTGACAGCCGACGCAGGGATCTTCTGAATATCTTCTGCGCTATCCTCCAAGGTAACATGGTAGTTCTCAAATCAGCTTGTATCATTCATATTGACTCGTGTCATAGGCAATAACAAGCAGAACATCAATAACAAAGCCTGCTACGCTGAACCTGATGGTACATTCAAAGCAGACATTACTACCTTTGAGGGTTCGCATGGACATGACCTGTACCTCGATTTCTTCCAGCAGAATTTCAACGACTGGCGTGGTAGAACAAACTGCGATGTGGATAACCGCAACATGTAAACAGGCAATTACCGATTGAGGGAGAGGTGAAGGACATGCCTAAGGCACCGATATAGCGAAGATTGACAAGTCAAGGCCGAATGCGCACGCTAGTGAAGGCATCATATAGAGCGTAATATAATGTGTCTAGTTGTATGTACCGTACGACAAGGCGTTCAGAAACCATCTTCATTGCTCTTGAACAGATCCATGTTAGACGATGAAATTCTTGCCTACCTGTAAAGCTGTTTGGCAGGCATGAGCAAGTATATCAGTATGCTATGAAATTAGAATAACGTGGTTCACAAGCGAGTCGCTCACCCAAGCGAGTCGCTCACGCCCCACCAGCGCGTCGACGTCGAGACTGCAACACGTCATGTCTCAACAACGTCAACATTTATTAGCCTATCCTAAATTAGATCTTTAGCTTGCTTTTTTTAATATCTAATCGCAACGTGTTTAAAGCTAAAGACGTGCTGCCTCTATCTATAACGTGCCTTAAAGAACCCTATCTAACTAACGCGCTAGAAAGCGCTCTCGACGCGACTGCAAAGCGAATTTGAAGCGCCTAAATAAGCTAGAAGAGGAGGCTATAGTTAAGCGTATTCTTAAGGAGTCTGCGCGAGGATTTGCGCCTACAAAGCCTGACGTTTAAGCAATAGCTAATAAACTACTGCATGAGCGTGGGAGCAACCCTGTTAGCAAGAACTAGATTAATAACTTTGTTAAGAGGACTCCTAAGCTCCGCACGCGCTAGAGCCGTCCCTACAATCACCAGCGAGCTACCTGCGAGGACCCAGCGGCTATCTAGCGCTGGTTCGACTTAGTTCAGGCGACAAAGCAGAAGTGGGGTATTGTGGACGACAATATCTACAACTTTGACGAAACTAGCTTTATAATAGGCAAGATTTTATCACAGTTAGTTATCACAGGCTTAGAGGGATATGGCAAAAAGAAGCGGATCTAGCCAGGTAACCGTGAGTGGGTTACTGTGATCCAAGGCGTGGGCGCGTTAGGTCGCCGGCTACCCCCCTTTGTTATCTTTGCGGGCAAGGTGCTTATCGACGTCTGGTTTAAAGGCCTGCCTACTGACTGGGTTCTTGAAGTTAGTCCTAATGGCTGGACGAATAATCAGCTTGCTCTTGCGTGGTTAGAGCACTTTGATACCTATACAAAGAGGCAGACTGTGGGTGGGTATCGACTGCTCATTATCGACGGCCATGAGAGCCACTGCTCCGTCGATTTTCAAGATCTTTGCAAGGAGAAGAATATCATTCATCTCTACATGCCTGCGCACT